TGCTTCTAGTTTATCAGTATTCCTATAAAAATTCCTGGTTACTTGTCCATGTGTGGATATTGGGAAAAGACTAGGAGCATGTGCTGCGAGTCCTGTTTTACCACTCTCGTTATCTACAGGTCATGCCTGCCAATTTAGAAAATCAATTACTCAAGCAGTTGAAAAGTATAATTTGATGCTGACCCTGCCTACTAGGGTCAGTGTTATTGGGGCACAATATGATGAAGATGGCAGGGTTTTGGTCCAGAATGGTTAGTGCTGCAAGGATTCAGACTTTGTACCTCTAGGTGATATCTTCAATGGAAATTCATCAGGAGCTACCTAAATTCTCTTGGTTGTGTTTTTTGGTTTGTTTTTTAAAAGAATTTGGAGGGTGTATCTCTTGGCTGGTAATACAGGAGTTAAGCTGAGCCTTTTTGGGAGCTTGCTGTTACTGGATACTCTGTAAAGAGAGTTGTTTTGTGGGGTTTTTCCCCCCTGTAGCTGTTGACAAACAGGCCTGTTATAGCTAGAGTGGGCTGTACTTTGTAGAGATGGAGGAAGTTTGTTCTCCTGCCCTCCCCCTTTTGGCCGACTTCGCTTTGAAAGCTGCAGTAAACACTGGCAGGGTCCTGTGTCTTGCTGGAAGTCTTGTAGGCGGTTTGGGTGCCATAAGCTTGCTTTCTCCTCCAGGCTGTAAGCTCCTGGGCATTAGAACTATCAACTATAATTTTTGTATCATTTTTCTACTACACCAAGGCCCAATGATACTAGAAGCATTAGTGACCTGTATTTTTTCAGTGAGGAACCTGATTTTATTCATGAGCTGATTTTTGAGGAGCAGGTCTGGGATTTTTGCACAAAAATGGTCTCCTGAGTTTAGAGGGAACATGATTGGATTCAGAATTGTGCAGTGTTCAGAGAAAACTGCTAATGCAGCCCTTGTCTATTTGGCAGCTGTGTTTCTTAGGATATCTGGGAATGATTCGGAAACACTTTGATCAACTCATGTGTGAATGTTTCTCTTTGCAGAGATTAGGCCACTACAGGACTTGACCAATGCCAGGACTCTGTCTTCCTCCAGCTTGGAAGAAGCGTCAGGGCGCTCATCCAGGCGGAGACGGGACCCAGCCTGCTATGCAGAGCCGAAACTCAATAGGTTGGGCTTTAAACTACTCCTTTCCATGACTGTTCCCATGCCACAACCCCTGCTGTGCTCTCATGTGCTCACTCTCCAGGGCTGGACTCTCTGTCACTTTGTTTGTCTTTAAGTTCCTCTAACGCTTTGTGTTTCTGTGACCCTCCTCTTCTACCACAGTGTGCTTAAGCCAAAATTCTGCATTAGCACAGATGCGTGTGCAGGCTTCTGGTAACAAGCTACCAAAGATGTTACTTCCCTCACTGAAATGAGCATGTGCTCACGCTCTCTTAGCAGACTGCATCTCTGGTACCCCAGTGCTAATGAGGGATTAACATGAGGATAAAATACAGGCTAAATAAAGACAGCTAAGTGAAAGCCCTGATTTCACTTGCTGCCATCCTGTGATACCTGAAGTTTTATACAACAATTGAATAATACTTCATTTTAATTGGGTTTCAGTAAAGGAAATACTAGGTTTTGAGGAGGGTTCTCCCCTGTGAGCAGGCTGTATCTATATTTGCTTTTTCTGGCAGATATGAGTACCTACTAGGTTTTGAGGAGGGTTCTCCCCTGTGAGCAGGCTGTATCTATATTTGCATTGTCTGGCAGATACGGGTACCTAAACAAGTAGCTGCATCTTTTCCCTAAGAAACTGTAGATTCAGTACATCCAATGGCTAATGTACAGAACCATTTAACTCCTAAAATGATGATTTTGTTGTGATGCTACTGGGTAATACTATGTTTTCTCCCTGAAAAGTGTCACGGTTTGAACTTCCTGTGAGGAGTTGGTTATACTGGGTCAGAAGGTACTCTGTACTGGTACAGCTGTTCCTGTACTGGACAAGGAACAAACTGTACCACTCAGTCATCTTATAGTGGAAGCATTTCAGTAAAATCAGAAACTTTAGAAACTGAAATCATACACGTATTCAAGAAATACCTTGATGGTTCAATCTAACTCTTTTGGTTCTGCAGGAAACTGAGGCGGGGCGACCCATTTACAAACACTGAGTTCCTCCACTCCCCTCTCTACAAAACCAAAAAGAAGAAAGCTGCCAAAGCCAAGGAAATGACCAAGAAGATCAAAGAGGAAAAAGAATGGCTTCCTGAAAGATGTCCCAGTGCCAAGGCAGGCAAGCTAATAACAGTGGGAAGAGACATGGAGCCAGAAGTAAAATAGTGGTTGAACAGGCAGCCCCCAAGCTCCTAGAGGCTTGTGCATCTTTTCTAGAATATCTCTAATGTTTTGCATAGCTTATTTCTTATTTTAATTTTAAAGTATAAATAAAGTCGTCTATGTGGACAGTATAACAGCTTTGTGACATTTATTCCCCGTCCACCCCCACTCCATCTTTAAACGCTGGGGTGCTTGTCTGCGAAGTCTTTGTGCACAAATGCTTGTGGCACCACAGATAGCTCGCTGGCTCTGCCAGTTCCCTCCCTACACAAGCCTGGGGAGAGTACACCTTGGAGGGCTGATCTTTTGGTATTGCAGATATCCACAAGGGCTGCTGAAAGGGTAGGAAAGCAGCCCAGGCTTTGACAGCAAGCAGAAGAGGAGGCATGCTGACATACTGCCTAGCATTACCTCCTGTAGAAGGTGGCTTCTGCACAGGTAGAGCAGTCCACTGGGATTTCACCTTTAGGGTTGACTACTGAAGCCTTGGACAGCCCTAGAAGTCAGAGCTCTCTGCTGTTCTGGAAGGGAGCAATGTCAGATCACTGATACATCCCTTCTCACTGTATTTGCTGTCAGTGGGGATTTGCATAACTATGGAGTTGAAAACTGAGCCTTCCACCAGTCCTGAGCATGCAATACCTAGGACGCAGATGCACCCATCTAACTACATCAGTGCCAGCACTAAAGGTAAGCTAGGCTATACTGTCATCGAAGGCAACTGGGGTCTGCTGATGGAAGTGTTGGTGCAAAGGGCTATTACTGGTGGTGGGAGCTACGTGGGCCCTGCCCAAGAGCTCTGTGAAGCAGCTGGTGTACTGTGAAGCAGACAATTGTTTCAGGAAATCTGTGCTCTTTTCCATTGCAGACTGAGAGCCTACTGGCCTCCAGTGCTTGCTTTTTTAGGGTCTACTGATGTCTGACTTTGAAGGTTATTGATATTAAATGTTTGAGGGAGTGGTGGGAAAAAGAAGTGATCATATTAGTAGTAAAGGGGAAGGGAATGTGCCTCCTTGGAAGCAGGAAAAATGTTTCCTCTTTCTCCACAGCAGAGAGGGACGCTCTGTTCTTATGACCACACTTATTGCTGCTTCTCCCAACACAGAGACAAGTGTTCCTTTCTCTCCTCAGCACTTCAGCAACATCCATCGCTTCATGAGGATAGACTGGGTCATGCTGTACTCTGCAGAGTCCTCCAGAAGATGCAAACTTTGTTAGTACAGAGGGAAAATAGTGTCATCTGCAGTTAGGTAAATGCTACTACATTGCTTAACTTAAGCTATACTGTTAAGTCATTTAAAGAAACATACAGAAACATACATAAAGAAACAAACAAGAAGTGTAAGATTTTAAAATGCCCCTTTTTTCCTGAAAGGTACTAAGCTTTCTCTGGTACTCTGTAACTCCAGAAGGAGCTCGTAAATAACAGAGAATTTGTTAGAAGTGCTGTTGTACTATGACCTGCCTGACCATGGCACAGTAATTTGAACTACTGATGTCAGAAGCCAGGCAGGAACATAGATCTCCAGATGTTCCTGATGATTGTTTCCATTGCTTCAATGGGTCAGCAATGGGACTTTCTCCAGCTGCACTTACATGCTTGTGTTAATAACAAAATAGCAGTCTACTGTGTTCGTTCATATTGAAGGTACAGTGACAGCTGCGTTTCAAACACATGCTCATCCCAAAACAAATGTTAATACTAGCTGATCTAGTCTAACATTGTATTTCTATCCTAACCAACACTTACAGCTAGCCAGCTGCAGGGTGAGAGTTTGTCTCATGTATAACCAGTTTCTGATCTTTGTTGAGTGGCGATACATCAGTTTGAGTTTATAATAGTCCCAAAACAAAATTTCAGTGGAAGTGGTATCTTTAAATTCTTATGCACTACCTGATGCTTACCACCACACTACAGATCACATCTTCCCATGAGCCAGAACAAATTAAAACTCTAAGAAGGGAGAGATTATTTTGTGTTTATATCACATTCCAACAGTCTGTCCCAGCATGTACTGGACTGTGCTGAAAGGTACTGGAGTCTCGCTTTGAGGCAGAATTTCCCCATATCTGCTAATCACACAAAGGAAGGAGAGACACAAAGAATGTTACTTGGCTTTTATTTTAGTCTGAACTAAAATATTTAAAAAAAAACCCCAAACACAAAACCATGGATGGAATAGTTTTTCACCGTCATAATCTGACTTGCTGTATCACAACAGGAAGGGTAATAGCCCCCAGACAACTGGAGGTAAGTTTTGCACCTTTATGAATTGTGGGTGGGGGAAGAGGTAACAGTTCCTATGCTTCACATCCAGTCAGAAGGAGTATAACTAAATGCATGGCCTGCATTTAGACACTGCAGCATGGCTTTATTAGGCTCTTAGCCTATAGGGCTTGTTTCCAGCATTTACTAAGTGCTTCTTCTCAAATGCAAAAGTCTTGACTGTAGCAATGGGAACAAATCCCTTAGTATCAGGATACCATGCTCTGATTGACACTAAAAGATAAATTAAGTAAGAGAGGTGCTGCAGTAGAGCTGGCATAGCCCTGCAAGCTCACTTATACTCAGTGGACAGTACTGGAGAGATGAGGACGGTTCCAATTTCTAAGGTCTGTTGGACAGTAAGTCACCACTGGTTTGACCAGAGCTGTGACACAGACTGGCTTTCAGTCTGAGAGAAAGAGAGAAAAGAAACACAGATCATTCATAGTTATGGAGAGAAACCTCGGGTCTGCTGTGAATGACATTAGGAATCCAGACCCACATCGAGCTTGAATACTATCACATTCAGCTGCTTAGCAAAAGTAAGGCCTAGCCCAGCAGCTCAAGGGGTTTAAGAAAACATGGTCTTTTAAACATTTTAAAAAGTGTACATGTTCATTTTTGTCTAGTATTTGAAATGTTACACAACAGAGTGTGATATAGTGCCACTTACACCTTGGTGTAAGTGGGAGATGCCTTGTTAGTGGAGCTTGAGTAGAACCTGTGCCTTAAAGTTTGGGCAGAGAGGCCAGCTTCCCCTTCAAATTTTCAGCAAGCTTGTCCATGAACTCAAAGGTGTTCAGGTAGTCAGAGCGTGTGACGCTGAGGGGGGGAAACAAAACAAGACAGACATTAGTGGTAACGCCACTCAAATGTTCAAAGCAGGGGAAGACTGTTCAAAGAACTCTGAGTCTTGCCTCTAAAACCAAGAGAGTTAGCTCCTACTCATCAGGCTAATGTTTTTTGCCAAAAGGCTCCAGAGAAGAGGTAGCCAGGTGGTATTTTGCAGTAAAGCAGGTCTCCATCCTAATAAATGGACAGGGCAGGAACTGGCCAATGTAGCCAGCCCATCATAAGAGAAATTTTTGCAGTTCTTTTGCCTTTTCCCCCATGCATTTGGTACAATAGCAGGGACAGAGCAACCTAGACTAAGCTACTTGGGGCGGGGAGTGTCTCATGTTCTGTTTGTACAGCACTGGGTACAGATGAGCCCTGTTCTGTGACCAGACTCCAGCAATTCTTCACCATATGAAAATAACTTTTCAGCAAATGCTGTTCAGAAACATGAAGTAAAACAGCCTCCTCCAAGCACAGCTGATTACTTCATACACTTACTTAGGCAGGCCTTTGATACAGGCAGCAAGGTCCTTTGTCATGAAGCCAGATTCGATGGTCTCAATGCAGACTTCTTCCAGGGCAACTGCAAAGTTCTTGAGGCTAGTGTTGTTGTCCAGCTTAGCTCTGTGAGCTAGTCCTCTTGTCCATGCAAAGATGGAGGCTGAGAAAGAACACTAGATTATTCTGTCCTTCTAGAACTCCCTGGACATTGTTCTAAACTGTCATGTGGAACAGTAATTATTTTTTAATATTAATAAAACTGAAAACAGAAGAAAGATAGAAAATCTGGTACAGGAAAGAGAACACCTATCTTCATCTTTGCATTTTGTGCAGCTCTGAAGAAAAGCAAACCCTAGAAACTACTCACTGCCTCCAGCAATCTCTTTGTGAGTGCCATTTTATCTTATTTTGTTCCTGCCCAAGTTGGAAAGAATGACCGGTGGTAGGACTCTGTGGTTACACAGAAAGTTGTCCTTGTGATAGAAGGGTACAGTTTTCTTCCTGGTATTACATTACACACTGGTCCCTGTGTACTTGTAGAGGATTCTTTCCCTCATGTCCCATTCTAGGTGCACTTTACACTTTAAGTATGTACATGGTTTGGAGGGTGGCTGGGTCTTTTGGAGCATCAGGAAGGGGAGTAAAATAAAAAACAACCAACCTAAACCTTAAGGCCCTTGTGGCTATAAACCCATCGTTTGCTGAAGAATGAGAGCATGTCTCAACGGCTAGGTTAGATCTAGCTTATTGCTCACACTTGCTCCATTCCAGCCTGTTTTTGCTCCAGGCTCCAGCTGTCTCCATGGAAGAACAATGCATTACGAACTACCAGTTACACCAAACAGGGGTGCAATTCCCTGCAGAAAGGATACAGATGTTCTTACTCCAAACCTGTTCTTTCATGTGTAGAGATCACTGAAGGGCAGTGAAAAGCAGCTCACCAATGGGGTTAGTGGAGGTTTCTTGGCCTTTCTGGTGCATGCGGTAGTGACGAGTAACTGTGCCGTGCGCAGCTTCTGCTTCAACAGTTTTGCCATCAGGGCAGATCAGTACACTGGTCATCATCCCCAGAGAGCCATAGCCTACAGAATACACAGTTAAACAAGTTCATTGTCTCCTCTGGACAGCCCCCTTAAATTCCCCTTAATCCACCCATCCTATAATCCCTATACATCCTCCCAGCCTTGATGTGAGTATTCCTGAACAGCAGTGCTGCTGCTGCAACTAACTGGCTAGTCCTGACATGTCAAAATAACAGCTCGCCTGAACAGAAAGTGCTGCTGAACAGGCATTCTGCACCATTTCAAGAAAAACAGTATTCTCACCTGACTTGCTGGACAGATTTTTACTGAAAAGGTGCAGTATGAGAACTAAGAATCCTAAATAAGCAGTGTTGGGCTGCCAATCACTATCTTCCCCACAGGGTGACAGGAAACAAACCTACTTCACATCAAGAGCATCTGCTCTAATGAAAGGAACCACGAGCCTGCAAAACTGGACATTCACATCACTTCTAACCCTGTAGGTTTCAGAGATCTGTGTCTTTGAAAGCTTCTTTGTTCAGTAGTCCAACACACATCCTTGTTCTGTGGGAGGCATTTTACTGGCATTACTTTAGAAAGAGCATGTTACATAAAGCCACATATCTTGCCCTGTGGGTTTCTGCATCCATATTTGTTTTGGCACCAGGCAGCTTGGTTATATAGGATTTTGATCAAGCACTACAAGCCTGTAAATTTAAACACATCAATCTCTCTATACCTGACAGGTAGCTTTACGTCCTGAAGGTTTTCTTACTTATCTGCAGAGCAGCTGCCAGTATGCTCACCACCAGTCAGCTTAACTCAAGCTGTCAGTGACAGAATCCCAGCTGTCTGGATACCTTCCATTAGAATGGAAAGCCTATTAGTTATTATGTTGGTAGGAACTGCCATCTGGTAAAGAAGTACAACTACTCAGTCTGCATTCAATGGATTTTCTTGTAAAATTCTTTGCCTGCCGGGTATCTCCATGACTGGCCACAGGTTTGAAATGTAAGTTCTGAGACCCAACACCACCTCCCGGGCCATTACATAAGATATGACACAAGTCACAAGAGACTGCTACTGGGCCTACTTCAGTGTAGCACAGGAAACATCTCATACCTTGTGCAACAGAGTCAGACTGCACATCCCCATCGTAGTTCTTGCAGGCCCAGACAAAGCCTCCTTCAGATTTCAGGGCCTGAGCAACCATGTCATCAATGAGCCTATGCTCATACCAGATCTTTTTGGCTTCAAACTGGGACTTGTATTCTCTGGAAAACAAAAAACAGATCACGTTGACATATAGATAAAAACAGGGATTGCACAATTTGTGCAAGTAATTGTGCATAGAGAAAAGAGTAAAAAAAAAAAAGCTTAAAAGAAATTTGCATCCCCTCTACTCTTTTTTTTCCTCGCTTGCTTTGCTAGGCCACTGCAAGTCTGCTTCAGAATCACAGAGGAGCCCAGAGAATTTGTGACTCTCTGTTAGGAGAGATGAACATCACAGCCACATTTAGTAGAGCTTTAAACACCGAGCACTGTGTCCTGCAGGACAAGGGAGACTGCGACACAGAAGGCGCACAGCCCCCGCGAAGTGCTGCTGCGTGTCTGAAAATGCTGAATTTACTGTAGCAGCTCACAAAGCTGGAGAGGATGTTCCTGCTGCAGACTTATGCACTGCAGTAGGAAGTATACAACTATCCTAGTTACCTGTCATAGATCTCTTGGAAGATGTCTTTAAAGCGACCATCGTATCTCTTCAGGATGGTGTTCTTGGTGCTCATGTAGAGGGGCCAGCCTTTAGACAGTGCCATTTGGAAGGAACTGTGGGCAAAATCCTTGATAGACTGGTCAAGATTGTACATTCCCATGGCTACACCACCACAGCCTGTTAGTGGAGGAAAAACAGATGGGAATCAACTAGATTTAGTTTTGGTTAAGGATTTGACCGTCTCCCCATAGCATACTCTGGCAGGCAGGCTGGTGTTATCCCCAGGTGTCTTGATATAGTTCTCAGTTTAAGGCTGGTTCTTTCAGGAGAAGATTCACTTTGCACTATCAGCTCAAAGCTCCAGCAGTCCTGTGACACATGGATAGGAAGGTGGTTTTGTTTTACAGCTAGGTACATCCTAATACCGTGATCTAATGCCCCTAAGAAGTTTCTTCCTAATCCAGCCTAAGCAACAAAACTGTGACAGGAGTGAGCGTGCTTGAACTCCTACTAGCCAGATAATAGAGTATTTTTCTATCAAAGCAGCAGGCAGCAGTTTGGAGCAGGGATCTCAGTCAAAGCTAGAAATGGGTTGCTCCCATCTTAAGTGCCTCGTACCTTCAGGCTTTGACTGCACTGCAGAACTAACTCCAGCAGTCAGAGGCTGCTTTGCCTAGCTCAGGTAAACAAGTCCCCACATGCATCCCTGCATTTTTTCAGTGCATGTGTTTGGCCTACCCTGCAGCTTTGTTTCACCTGCTCAGGCTCACTTCCAGCAAGTTGTGGGAAGTCATCTTGGTGCAAGGGAAAGTCCTGAGAAGGCTCTGAGGAACTATCAACACTCACATGACTTAGATTGTGTAATGCAAATGTATTAGCAGCCTGAATGAAGTGCCTTAAACTTACAGCCCAGTTCAACTGGGGGAAAGCAGCACTCAGATCATGGGAGATGCTGACTGTGGGTGAAAGCAGGGTCTAGGGCTTCATGAAAAAACTTTGTCATCTTCAGAACATCTCTGTGTTTCTAGTGAAAAGTATATACCGTGTACTTAATTTTAAGCACCTCACTACCATCACCTCTCCAGTGTATTGTACAGTGCCTTTATCAGGGATCTTTGCTCTGGAAACACCCCAGATTTTTTTTATTTTTTATTTTTGAAAATACCCTTTCTTAATATCCATTTGTCCTTACCTCCAGATGGTTGTTGCTATATGGACATGCATGCAGAATGAAGAGGGGAAGCCACAGGAGGTTCATCTGCTTGCCAAGATAGCAAGGTCATTTAAAGTTGATATTGGCAGGGAATGAAATTCCTGTTGCTACCAGTGAAAATACACGTTGTCCCCCTGCCTCCCTTAGTGAGTCAAGGACAGGATAGGGTCTGATCAGCTACAGAGGCTGTGTCTTCTGGAGCCATGATTTCATAGTTGCTGGATGACAGCTATTAAGTTTTATTCAAATACTTATTTGCATATAGGTAGAAAAGCCCTTGTTGCAATCATACAATCCTGCTGCCTACTAAAATCTCTTGATTTGGTGTCAAGGTTGAACATATTAGTATAGCAATAGGACAAGCTTCCCTTATGCATTGTGGAGATATGCTGGCACAACAGTTATCTGTGGGGAGGGGAGTTCCCCCAGAGCAACAGCAGTAATCTGCCATCTTTACACTTCCTTGCTTTCTGCTTGCTGACGCAACACAGAGCAGTGAATCAGACTGGCAGCTGGAACTGCCAGATGTCTCCAATACAGGCTCACCAGTCACCTATCAAATGAAAACAGATTAGGACTGGCAGTGAAGCAGGTGAACTCCAGATGAAAGGCTGTGCAACAAGAAATAGTAGAGATTTAGGCTCCTGTGAGCTAGAATGCCAGAGAAATCAAGTATTACAGAAGAGGGTCATATGGCAGTCTTGGTACCTGTTTGCCAAGCCAGCTGCATACAAACCAGGATTCTGTTGTTTACATGGATGTATTAGGTCTTTGTTGCTAGAAACAAAACATTGCACACTCACATACATAGGTCACCATAAGGCTTCAAATCCTGAACCCTTTGATCACTGATAGGCAAGAGAGATGACTTGTGTGATGTTTTCCTGAATCCTGCCCCTAGAGAAACACCCTGGGTTCTAGCAATGTGTGTGTAATTGTTTCCACGCAACAAAGCCCAGCGAGTCAGGACTTCTCCTCCTGAGCTTAGCAATGTCTACAACCAGCACAGCAATATTGCTAGGAGGGATACAAATACCTTTGGGACTGCATCTGTTAAAACAGTTAGAGCCTACACAGTCAGGAGCATCCTTGTCAAATCTCCTTTCCACCTTGCAGAGTAAGTGTCAGTTCTCATTTCTATTGAAAAAAAAGACTGCTTAATAAAGAGGGGTACAAACTGCAAAGGTGTATAGAGCCCAGTAAGACAAACTAAACCCAGAAAGAATTATACCTGAATTGTTCTCAAATATATCTCCCCTTAGGTCAAGCCATGTTTAGATAGCAAGTTTTCCCTCAGAGGGAAAAACATGCATGCCACTACCACAGCCATCATACAAGGAGCATGACAGGTGGCCAGTCTAGTATGATTGTGTTCGATATGCCTCTTCGATCCAGCAAGATTTGAAGTAACTTTCAGTACTTCCCAGATAAATGAAGAAGCCCCAGACCTTCTCCCCCACTCTACCTTAAAGTCATATTTTACCACCAAACAGATCTGACTGATACTTCAAAGTTGAATTAAACCAAAAATACCAGTTTTAATCACAACTTAGAGATAATACCTACTTTCAAAGTTATGGACCAGATATGTGACTGGTTTGCCTCCATCTTTTGGAGTGTAGGTCATCTCTACTTTTCCAGGCCCAGGTACCACAAAATCAGTTGCTCTGTACTGTTAAAAAAAAAGCCATAATGATTTTATCTATCAGGAGGACAGAACCATAAAAGACAACCCACATTTGGGAGGTAGGGTGCAGAAAAGTATAAACAGTTGTACCCAAAACCCCATTGAACAGGTTCTGTTTACTCAGATGTATCATCGGATTATTTTACTAGAGATTAGAAAGACAAGTAGTCTTGCCTGTTTCAGAAGATATCTTCCTCTTTAAGGGAAAAAGCTTACAGATTCTTGGGCCCCATCAATTGGCTGAGTATGTATTTTTGCAGATGCACTGGAGTTTTAAAGTGCAAAGTATCTAGTGTTGTGTGGTCTGTGAGTAGAAAGGCTCCTCTCCCTGCCTCAAAAAGCCATTCATATCATAGCTTCTGATCTCATGAATAAGGGGCAAATCATACAGCACCTTAATAAAAGCCATTATTTCTATCCATCATATGACATTTGAAAGGTCAATCTGTAGTAAGAGTTCTTTGAATTCTGTAAATGGGTATGCTTTTTGCTCCTCTGAGCTACACAGACTCAAAAGAAGAGACAACATGTACTTCAAGTTTTTGAACGGTGTCTCATCTTCCCAACTGTTCTGATCAGTACTATTTAAGGTTTCATTTCATTGAAATTCGTCATCCTTTTTCATGTAGTTTCCCTCCTATTGAGGAAACCACTTCCCTAAGCTGTTCTGAAGTTACAGAAGTGTCTTGCTCAAATGCCCTTTACATGTTCTTATATTATTCCTTTCACTTTAATCTCATACTTTGGCAGGGTTTCAATCCTCCTCCTTAACCCATTGTTTCCTATTATTATTTTGACCTTCTCGATTATTCAGTACTGTTAAGGATGTTGAACCCTATTCTCTTCTAGTGTCAGGGCTCTGCAATTATTTTCCTCTTGGAAATGTATTACTTTACCTTCCCACTCCAGCTGATCTTACGACTTTCCCTCAGTTTGTGGGTTTACCCATCTATTTAAGCACTTGGCTCTTCTAGAAAACTTTTGTCATGTTTGGCTGCTTTACAGCTTATCATTACCCATGGAGAACAGTATGGTTGATTCTTGTCTTGTCCTCTGGGCTGCCCAAAGACCACTACACCAGCTGCCATGCTAGGGTTTCCATGGCCTTGTACTACCTCTGCCAAGAGAGCTCTGATAAAGGATATTTCCCTACCTTGGTACCACAGCCTCACGTACCCAGTATGAATACCAACTTTGCGGGAGTGCTATGCAAGTAAGTTTAAGAAGCAGATCACAGTTTAAAAAAAAAAAAAAAAAGAAAACAAAACCACACCTACGCACAGAAGGTAACTTTGCCCACTTCTAAAATCACTCACTCAGATCCATTTTTGCTGTGAGCAACATTTGCCACCAAAAAGTCCTTCTGAGAAGTAAGAAGATGGGCAGTGTAAAGGATATTTTCTAAAGACATTGCTATGTAAGGAGGAGGGTTCTGCAGAGGTGAAGAAAAATAACTTAGAGGAGTTATACCCTGTGTTTAGGTACAGACCCATCTAATCCAAGCACAGGCCCCTGAATGCTGTTTATACAGCTACACTGTCTAAGGAAGAAAGGTATGAATCAGGCTCTCCGACACTTTGCCAGGTGCTGTACAAAGTGCCAGCAAGTACCCACTCCCAGGTGGAGTGCAAGGGATAAAGCAGCAGCACAGGGATGTCTAAGTCTTCGTAGCTCTATACCAGTCAGGACTAAGCCTGTTCAGATAAAAAGAGGGGTAAGCACTGGAGTGACTCACTTGATCCCCATAAGCGTGACGGCCAATGACAATGGGTTTCACCCATCCAGACACCAGCCGGGGAATGTTCTTGCAGATAATAGCCTCCCTGAAGACAGTGCCACCTAGAATGTTTCTAATTGTCCCATTGGGAGACTTCCACATCTGCTTCAACTTGAACTCCTCCACTCTTTTCTCATCAGGAGTGATGGTTGCACACTTTATGCCAACGTTGTATTTCTTTATGGCTTCAGCAGCTTCCACAGTTACTTTATCATTTGTAGCATCACGATGCTCAATGCCCAAGTCATAGCTGTAACAAACCCACAAAGATGGTCAGAACTGCCCAGGACATTTGTTCGTGTCCAACAGGAAAGAAACCAGACCCCATATGTGCCTGTAAGTGTAGTTCCAGCACTCTGCCATAACTGAAGTTATCCCTCTTCCAGTGCAAATGCTGCTGGCCTGGAAGAAGACATAGGCTCCAATACTGATACTTCTGCTGGTGGCAGGAGTTTGGATAAAGGACAACTTCAGTTTATGGCTGACGCTCTCTGCCAGCATGGGACATAGCCAGTATCTCCTCTACCTTCCCTTCTGAGCTTCCTGCAATGGAAGCTTTCAGTCTGGGCTTCTAATGGTATGGAGCAGCACAATCCCCAGATGAATATGGGCCTTTATTTCAAACCTCATGCTGAGGGTTCTGGCTTCCTTCATGTACTAAGCATATGAAGCTATACTAGGCTTAAAACTGTTTTGACAATGGATCCACAATACTGCTCAGGCAGCAAAACTGCCAATATTTCCCTCCAACAGTCAGAGGAAGTACGTTTCCCACACTCGCTGTTTTAATAGCTTTTGGAGAACAACCCAGCGTCCCCAGCATGGGACAGCCCTGAAGCATAGCCAGTTGTACATGAATCTAGCCATTGTGCTGCCTCAGCCAGGGGTTCGCTTCCCCTCCTCCCACGCCTCTTTGAAAAGGGATGTTCTCCAGACTGTGTGCATGCATTATGCTGCTGGGTTCCCGTTTGCTTGGTTCTCGACACCAGCAAGCAGAAAGCCTGATGTAGGTGGCAAATGACTCCAGGAGCAGGGGAAGAGGTCAGACTTATGGGTTTAATAATGGCAGATACCATTGAAGGCCTCTGTCCACCATGGCTTGGAGCAATGCAGCTGGATACTTCTCTAATAATTATAGCTCAGTGGCTAGAAAGGGAAGAGATTATTTGTTCTGCTTGACCAGATGCTGTAGATAGCATGTCCCTTTTGCCATACCAGCTGCTGGTATTTGGTTTTTTCCAGAAGGGAAGGTAGGAGCACAGCCTAGGCTCAGGGAATAATTGCAACAGTTAGCTCATACTGTCAGCAGCAGAGCTCAAGCTTACAGACATCAGGGCAGAGTCTGTGCCCTACAACCACCCTTTTGCCCTCTGGGCACATCTTCAAACAGAGATGGCAAGAAGCCATAAACCTACTCAAGAGCCTGCAGATGCTAGGCTTCATGTCAGGGAGTGGCTGAAACACCCCCATGTTTCTAATTGTTTAGGCTGCAGGAAGCCATGCAAACTGCCCAGGTGCTGGAAAGCCAAGGCATGGGAGAGAAAGATGTAGATCATGTCTATGAGAGACCTTCTTAGAAGTCTTCTTAGAGACCTTCTTAACTTCTTAGAGTTAGTTAGAGCTAACTCACAATTAAGCATTCACTGTTTACTGCTGTGAGGAACCCCAGAGGGGCTGCCAGACTTTGACAAAATACCTTCACCTTAAGACTACGCTTTCCAGAGTACTTAGTGAGGTTGGCTCTTAGGTAAGTTAGCCAGGGGAGTCTGCTGGGAACTTTACCAGTATAAAAAGGGCTAGTTAGCCTCTCTGCACTAGTGCAGGAGGAGCTATAAGGCTCTCAGTGCCAAGTGAAACATGATCAATGCCTAATGACACATGCAAATTGCAGTACAAAGTGGCTGTGTGTCATAAAGAGCCATTACCTGTGCAAATCCAGATCTACATAAGGAAAAATCAGCTTTTCTTTAATCAGTTCCCAGATGACCCGTGTCATTTCATCTCCTTGCATCTCCACAACGGAGCCTCCATGGATTTTTTTAGACATCTTGAGCTGCAATAGACATAAAAAAACCCAACCTAAGTTAAAAACTGCCAACATGCATCACCAATACATGTATCCTACATTTTCACAACACAACTATAAGAGAGGTACTAACATAGCATACAGGATCTCTCCTAAAAGTCTTGAAAACAACCACAGTTTATCCCTAATTTCATGCTAACTGGTATTCTTCTTAAAGCCCCAGGTCCTAGGGAGATCTATCCAAGGATAAAAATAAAGGTTAATATCTGAGATTTAAGGGCATCTGTTCTAAGGGCATGAGCTTTAATTATGGTTGTACAAAAGAATTTGAAGGCATGACCAAACTCTTCCCCCAAATTCCACAGAAATAGATGAGCGCTGTTTATTACTAGACTTCATGAGTTCTAGTCCAGTGGCCTGTTTCTCTCCCTTTTTCTGAAAAACAGGGGTTAACAGACATTATTTTGATGACAGCTCATATTGCTGGCACTGTTAAGATTAATACGTTGTCAGCTTCTTTATTAGCTTCCTTCCCAAGGAAGGAAGGAAGGAAACAGGTACAGAATAACAAGGGCCACATCAAGAGTACCTTCTCGTGGCAAGCTTTATTTCTGCTGTTAAAATAAATACTGGACATATTTGTTTTCCGTATGGAACAGAGGTTTCCCAAGATATTTGTTCACAAAGCCTCAAAAAATAAACCTGAACTCTGCCCTTCTATTTGCACTTTGTTCCTTGACAAAACCCAACCCCACAAGCCACTGAACTGCTCTAACACAGTGCCCTGCTTTCTAACAGCCACAGTTTCTCACTTCTCAGCTCTGATTATGCAAGAGCTATGACTTGGCAAGTTCCTCCTCCCAAGACAGCCCCATTCTTGTACACAGCTGTTCGGATACTACAGTGAGATACCAAGGCCTCGTGCCTGAGGTTGCAGTCTCATAGATACTGAGGTTCATGAATGGTTTCATCCAGAATGAGGGGTCCTACTGTACACAGAATCTATTCATCTAAATGAAGTTATTCAGAGGTGTGAGGTTTGCAATGCAAGGTCCCCAGATTACAAGCACATGGGGAGACTGCTCTCTGGTTCAATTTTTTTTTTTTTTTTTAATTAGACTAACTTGTGCTGTATTTTCAAAATCCAATCCATTAAACATTTTTAGTCTGGGAAGAGAATAAACTTTCTAACCTATGTTCTAGCTACTGCATCAAGCTTTTCCCAACTTTTTAAAGAGCAAAAATTAAAAAAAAAGGTAAAATGAGGTTGTGAGCTACTGAGACTCTATTTACTATGAGCACATAAACCTGAAAAATTAACTAGTCTGAGGCACTCCTATCCCAAAGAAAGATAATATCTGGGCTTATATTAGGCCTCTCTAGTCCTCACGGAAAACTTTAACTTCACATGACCACACTCTGTCTGAACTCAGTTTGTTTATGCAAGTATTTTGAGCCCAATTTTCAATTGTGACTATCTAAATAAGGACTGTATCACACTCCCGTGGCCTAGGCACAGGATTACTACTTAAGAGACTACAGTTTTGCTTTTGGCACTTACACAGACTGAGAAACATTCCAATTCATTTAATCCAAGACATACACAGACACCCACCCACAATCACTTGTTTTGTGGTTACTTAAATAGACAAATCAGACTATGTCAGTCACATTAATAGGTTTTGCAAAGCTGGCTTCAGACCTATATGGTGCTGCTGTCACAAGGGGAACACAAAGGTACATGAGACGCACCTCCACTGAGCTACCTCTCCACTGATATGTGAAAACAGCAGCTTCTTAAACAACTCTGACAGCATCCTACATATTTGTCTGATCATGGCCCCAGTACTCTCCCCCTCCTCAAGCACTGATGTCCCCAGTTTCTCTATGTACAGGGGCAGTACTGCAGCAGCATTCCTCTTCTGCACTCCAGAGTCAACATGCCAAGAGGTTCCTCTAGAGAGCACACATTCCCTAGAGTCAACTCTTTCTGTCACTCTTCCCCTTTGATTTTATGCTCTCCAGAACTGCCAAATGTCAGCAAGGTCTTTCTCCTACAGCAACCCTTCTCTAAACACACTTAATCCAGGCATTCAGCCAAGGCAGCTTAGAAGAAACTTTGTGAATTTCCAAATACTCCTTCGTCCTCAGGAAGGACTCAGGGCCTACAGTCAATCATTAACTATTGCAACAACTCCTTAATTCAGGTTTACAGAACATCTCGTCAGATCAGGCATGCTCCCAGGGAGAGCAGTGCAGATCGTTGTCACTAACCGAGATTTTGCCTGCACTTGTTTTTCGGCTGCACTGCCCTCCATCCACGCACGCAGCCCGGCCCTGACAACGCAATGCAGGCTAGCTCTTCTGGCACAGGCAGGATTTGCGGACCAGGCCGCTGGCTGCAGCCGGTGCCACAACAGGCAGGCGCTGGCACCACCTCAGCAAGGCGCTGCCGGGCCTGGCCAGCACGGCAGTGACCGGGGGCGCTGCCCCCAGCCCAGGAGGGGTGCCCCGGGATACGCGAGGGGCCCTAAGCGCAACCGGCAGCAGGTGACACTACCGACTATCAAGAGACATCTGGATTGCGAGGGGAGAAAGCCCAGCCCCAGGCCGGGGAGACCGAGTCTGAGGTAAAAGCACCCCCTCAACACC